GGAAGGAAGGAAGGAAGGAAGGAAGGAAGGGTTTGATAGGTATCGGAGGGCAGGTAAGAAGAGTGCTCGCCATTCTCATCATCGCTGGCAAAAAAGGTTAACCCCGTCTCTCCTTCCCCGAAGCAGAGTCCAAGACCATTCTGCCGTGGATCTTTTTAAATTTGGAAACGGGAATATTAGGCCTTGGGTTTCTCCTTTGCCAGCGGGTGTCTACAGGAACAGCTTGTGTATGCCTCCCATTGAGTGAATGAGTGTAAGAATTCCAGCCTTAGCGGCTGGCCTTGCTAAGCCCATCGATGACATCTGTGCTCACCCCCCCTAATACTCCGTCCCCCCCCCCCCCCCAGTACTCCATCCGTTCTTTGAAAAAGGGCATTACAGGACCCGTGAACTTGACACAGGTTGAACCCTGGGTAGGTTTTCCAATCTTCAGCAACAGCTGCAGTTTTATGAGGTTTGATGATCTACCTCTCTTGCAGGGCGGCCAGATCTTGCGGGTTTCTACAGCTCTGAGTTGCTTGCTCAGGACACCTTTGCAGGTGAAAAATATCAGAGCTGGCAGGAGTCAGCCTGGCCTAAGGTAAATCCTGGTGAATTGTTGGGAAAGTGGATTTCTTTAGAGCTAATCTTAGGGGAAAAAATGCTATCGGATCATTGTAGCTCATGTTTGTGCTGGATTTGTGGAGAAGTTCACAAAAATTACTAAAACCCTTTTAGTTTTTATGGTGGCTACAAAGGAGCACCCATTTTCCAATGGCTATCAAGGATAAAGGCTCTCTCAAATCAAGCTTGACTCCTGGTGAGTCCATGTAGTATTCAAGCAACAGTAAGGAAGTAGATGATTTGGCATTGGAAGCCCTGAAATTCTCTGGGTGATCCAAATAGTAACCAGGTCCAAACTCAGAAACATCACCCAGATGCTGCCATCTGCTGGCATAACCATTCTTGAGCTGGTGTTGGTATGCTAGACTGGTTTAAGCTATGTTGTTAGGCTTAGTTCTCATTGTGGTTTTAAACCTCTGTTTTTCACAGACCGTGAGGGAATGCCTGTGGACCTCCAGAGGCTGCTAAACTGAAATTCCCAGCATCCTCAGCCAGCATGACCAATAGTGAGGTATATTAGGAGTTGTGGTTTAACAGCATCTAGATCAGTGCTTCTCAACCTTGGCAACTTTAAGATGCGTGGACTTCAACTCCCAGAATTCCCCAGCCAGCCATGCCAAGGTTGAGAAGCACTGATCTGGAGACCCACAAGTTTGTTTTCCCTGCTCTATGCTACTTCAAGGTGCAATGGGGGCTGGATGCTTTCCATATCAAAAAAATAAACCCTTTATATGGAAAACTTGTTTAGTATTGGAGTGTTCAGTACTGACCTGTAATGTTCTATGTCAGAATCTGTTAATAAACTTTCTGGATCAGATCAGAAATAGATTAGTACAGCACAGAGTTAGCTTTGCAATAAATCCAGTGCACTTTGCTACCAGTGATATATGGCTGCTGGTGATATCACTGAACTTTTTATGCTGAATGTTCATGCTTGCAGGGCAGGTGGCATAGAGTATTGGACATACCTTAAAATAAAATCCATTTACCTTCTCTTCCAAATAAATTCCCACTAGTTACTCTCCTATATAAATGTTTACTTTCTGATACACTCTTCAATTGGCTGGTGTGGGTCTTCCGGGTTGGGTGGCCGTGTTCTGGAAGTTTTGTTTCCTAACGTTTCACCCGCATCTTCAGAGGGCAGGAGCAGTTCTCTCTGTGCCCAGGATGATGTGACCCTGTTGTGGGTATTT